TGAATTATTTTCATCTTCTGAGACGATTATATCACCAGTGTCGAGAATTTCTCTACGTGTAATATTCTTTGTTAATCCAGAACCATCAGCAAGTTGAATGGAATATACATTATTCCAAGATCAGCAACAACTTTGTATGGTGTGGAATCCCATGTGTCTTGAATTTTGTTTCTACCTGCAACTCTTTTTCTAATTAAAACTCGCGTTCCAATAGAAATAGATTTATCTTGGGTATTGCGATTATAAAGTTCGTTCCTTTGTTTTGCATTCTCTTCAAGATTTGCTCTGGCTTGCTCGATGGCAGTTGTTAGGCGTTTCTTGTGTTTTTCTAGATATCCATCGACAGTTCCTGATGTGGCAGCAACATTTAATCCTAGTAGATGATCTACTTGCAAAGTAGGTTCCCTTCCAAATAGTAAGAAATAGGGACTGTAACCTGTTGATGCATGTGTAGTTGAGTTATAAGCGCAAACTAGTTCAGGTAAATGCTCTGGCCATCTTCGTTTTTGTTCTGCTGTTAGAGTTCGAAGTAAATTGTGCATTGTTCTATTATACCTTTCAACTTGACCATTTCCCTCTGGATGGTACGGGGTGGTTCTACTCTTTGCGATGTTGTAAAATTTACAGAGTTCTTGAATAATTGCACTCTCGAAGTTTCTGCCTTGATCACTATGGATTCTTTTGGGTATACCATAGCGAAAGAACCATTCTTTGATCAATACTCGTGCTACAGTTGCAGCTTTTTGGTCTTTTGTTGGAACTGCCTGTGTGTACTTAGAAAAGATGTCTGTCATAACAAGTACATTTTCTCTACCATCAGATGCAGGTTCAAGTACAGTAAAATCTATAGCTAATATGTCTAATGGTTGAAAAGCTAACAGATTTCCAATGGGAGGCTTTACCGATGGAACTGGTGCTTTAGATATCATGCATCTTTCACATTTTTTACAGTACTGCTCAATGTCATTTTTCATGGTTGGCCAATAGCATCGTTTATGAATAAGGGACGTTGTTCTTTCTATTCCCTGGTGACCAGCATGATTATGCAAAGATTCGAGTACGTATTGCTTTAATGTTTCTGGGAGAAGCACTTGTCGATAAGGTCCAGTTTCTCCTTCTACGTATCTGTAAACAACATCATCTTCAATCTTAAGCTTGTCTCTTTGTTTCAGTAATTTCCTTACTGCTTTCGTCTCTTTTTTTAAGTCGTCAACTTTTGGTTGTGAAGTATTCTTCATCCAGTAAAGAACACGACTTATAACTGGATCAAAGCTTTGAAGAGATGCCATTTCTGTGCTCTCATATTCAGGTAGTGTTGTTGTTGCACATACTGGATCTGTCTGTATTGATCGGACATATGTTTGTTTAATTTCAGAATCTTCTCTGCAAATCTCCAATAAACTTGAGCCCTTAATAACATTCTGAAATACAGATTCAGAAGAACATGTAATAGTTCGAGCTTTGGGTATTGGTTTACGACTTAATGCATCTGCATTGCGGTTCACCCTTCCTGAGCGGAACTTAACCTCAAAATCGAACTGTGCAAGTTGGCTAGCCCATCGTGTTTCTGTGGCTCCTAATTTTGCAGTCTGAAGATAACTGAGTGGATTATTATCCGTATAAACAACAAATTTAGATCCGAGTAGATAATCCCTGAATTTGTCTGTGACGGCCCACTTTAATGCTAGTAGTTCCAACTTCATTGAACTATAATTTTCCATATTTCGTTCCGTGGGTCTTAGTGTTCGAGAAGCATACGCAATTACAACTGGTCCTTTGTCTTGTTCTTGGGACAAAACGGCCACTAAACCATCAAAACTAGCATCTGTCTCTAAAATGAAAGGTCTCTTGAAATCGGGATATCCTAATATAGGCGCAGATATTAGTTTTTCTTTCAAGTTGTCAAATGCAGTATCACATTCCGTTGTCCACAATTCTTGAAATGCCTTTACAATGGTTTTCTTCTTAGATTTCTTTTTGTTTTTATGCGTGATGTTATGCAATGGTTTGGCTATCTTGGAAAAGTCTTTTACAAAACGTCTATAATACCCTGCCAGTCCCAGAAAAGATCTTAGTTCTTTCTCAGATGTTGGTTTCGGCTAAGATTTGATGGCATCTGTCTTCTCTGGATCTGTGGATATTCCTTTATCGGATACTACATGACCAAGATATTTCACAGAGGTGTTAAAAAATGGCACTTTGATGTTTTGATTTTCAGTCCATGTGACTTCAGTTTGGTAAATACAATATCTAGTCTACGCAAATGTTCATCTACTGAATCTGAAAAGACAAGGATATCATCTAGATATAGGAGCAAAATTTGGAAATTTTCCTCAGATAAACAGGCCTCCATAAGTCGCTGAAACGTAGCCGGACTATTACATAATCCGAATGGCATTCTTAGATATTCATAAAGACCACCGGTTCCGACACGAAAAGCTGTTTTCTCTATGGAATTTTCTTCCATTGCGACTTGGTGATATCCTTGAGCAAGGTCTATAGAGCTGAAATATTTTGCTCCGTGCAAAACATCAAGTGTCTCTTCAATTCTGGGAAGAGGATAAGCATCCTTGATTGTCTTTTTATTCAGTTCTCTGTAGTCCACACACAGACGAAGACTTTTATCTTTCTTCCTAACAATGACTACAGCTGACGCGTAGGGACTGTTACTTTTCCTTATAATTCCGTTGTCTAAAAGTTTCTTGATGTGTTGTTTAACTTCGTCAATTTGATGAGGTGGTATACGACGGTGTGGAAGTCTAATTGGAACATCATCTTGTAGTTTGATAGAATGTTTAACTGTGTCCGTATAGCCAAGATCGTCATCGTTTTTTATGAAAGCATCTTGATGTTTCTGTATCAATTGGTCAAATTGCCACTTTTGATTGTCAGTAAGGATTACATCTCCGATGTTGATTTTCACTGGTTGGTCATTGCTTGGGTTTGCTGTCGAATTTGTTTCTATACTGATCTTTTGTATTATGACTTCCCTTTCTTTGATGTTGATATCGTATTCATCATCGGTAGATTTAACTATGTCGACTTTGTGTAGCGTTCCGATCCGACTTTTCTGTTTCAGCCAAACATCTTCTTCTCCAATATTCAATATTCTTACTGGAATCTTTCCACATTCTACAGTTCCTAACGTATCTATGACAATTATGTTCTTTGGTAGAGATCCAAGTGTTCCAGAGATTGCTTGTACTGCTCCAGTATATGGTTCACTTTTCTTATTTTGTTTTGTGGACCCTATAACAACTTTCATTGATCTGGCTGGTATACAAATGTCTGAACGTCCAGCAACCTTCACAAAGCTAATTCTATCCCTTTTTTCTGCAATATCAAGAGCAGTGGTTGTTATTTTCCATGCTTCTTCTTGTGATGGATTTTCATATTCAACGTTTTCTTCTTTCAGTGAACTATTCATGTGTTTCAAAACATTGCATCCTAAAATTCCATCCACTGATTCTCCAGCTGTAACTTTTGATACAAGAAAACCAACATTATGAAAAATAATACCACAAATTTCGACATCCACTTCAACATATCCCAAATATGGAATTTGTAAGTCATTTGCAGCTACTAATTTCAGAAAAGAAGGAGTATCACTTAATTCTAGTTCAGAGAGGAACCTTTCATAGAATGTTGATGATATTGTAGAAACTTCAGATCCTGTATCCAATAAACAAACAAATTCTTTTCCATTTAATTTGATACTTGTTGTAGGACATTTTTCTTGTAAATTGATAAGATGATTTGAGTCTTTTTGACTTCCCTCACCAGCTAGACTCATTACTGAGAGGGTGTTGCTTTTGGGTTACTTTTCGTAGATGTGTAGGTAGAGGTGGATGTTCCCTTAAGAAGTTTTGGACATGTTGTTTTCTTGTGTCCTTCTTCGTGACAATGAAAGCATGTGATGGTATTTCTGCTTGATCCACGCCAAGTTCCTCGTCCACGACCTCTACTTCTTTGTTGGTAACTTCCACGAATTTTCTGGGGAAACTGTCGAAATGGCGTCGTTTGCATTTGAGTCAAGAGTTCAATTTGCTTTTGCTGTTTTTCTAAGAGATCTTGTTGTTTACGCATCATCTCTAGAATTTCATCATGTTGAGATTTTTCTGTGGAAACTTTGCTAACGGTCACAACATTCTTTTGAGAACTACTTGTTGTCTGTCGATCGTCAATCCACAATAACACTCGTCTTCGAAATTCGATGAATGGGAGGGTAGGGTTTTCTATGGAAAATCGTTTTAGTTCTCTTTTTAATTGATTGTCTTTTACACCATCGATGAATTTTTCAGTAAGAATTTTTTCTTGATTTGAATTGTCTCCGCCCTCCTTCTTTGAAATTTTATGCATTAACTTCATCAAAGCCAAAGAATATGTTTCCAAATTTTTATTTTCACCTTGAGTTCTGTCATAGAATTTTTGTCGAAGTTGTGCAAGATTATCCTGAATCTTATATGTGTCTTCTATTATTTTCAAAATATCATCTGCGGATTTCTTCATGTCGGGTGGACGCATCCGTACTTCTGCTTTTGCATTTCCTGTCAAATGATCAATGATGAATTCTATTTTTTCTTCATTGCTGGGAATGTTGATAATATGTTCTTTCATGTCTGTAAGCCATTCATCTACATCTGGATCTGTATCTTTCACCGGTCGACCAGCTAGCTTGGGAAGTTTCCTTTCTGATTTTACATAGACAGGTGGAACAACTTTTGATGCAGCCATTTGCTTTGCTTCCATGTGTAAAAGTTTCACACGCAGTTGTTCAATTTCTTCTTTTAGTTGTTCAGTTGACATGTTGATTGTTTCTTGACTATATAATGGCAAAAGGGAATGATCACAATGGCAACGTTCACAAATGTATTTTGTCAATTCACAAATATGCCAGCGAGACAATTCTCACTATGCAATCAATGTGAATTTAATGTTAATTAATGCAAGTAGTGTATTACTGAAAGCGAGGTGATCCTCACTAATCAGGAGACACACTTGAAAATGTCATTCAATATAACAGTCTTTTGCCACTAAAAGTGCTAATCTTTTCAACCACAACTTGGCTAGAGCTGAACATGGATGAACGCCATCACGGTAAAGTTCATAGTTGAAATAATAAACACTTTTCCTTCCTTTATTAACTTTTCTGTTTCTCTGAAGATCTAATGAAAACTTGGGTGATCTGGATTCTGAATTCAGAGCATGAATGATTTTATTCAATTCCTTAATTTGCGATTCCAGAAGTTCGTCATCTTGTTTGAATTTTGACGGATTTTCATGTCCTTTAGATTTGTTCCATTTTAGTACGGAATACACTGGAATTTCCAAAAATGTTACTTTAACGTTTTTGTAATGTTCTAGAAATGACTTGAGTTCTTGGAATTGTTCATGTATACATTCTACGGTTTGATCACTGGTTGATCTGATAGATGTAAATTTTCCAGACTTAATAGTAAGGTCACATGTACCTAGCCAAACATACAAATGTATTTTCCCCAAGGTTTTTAGTTCAGATTCAAGCCTATTCTTAAACCAGTTTATAGCATTTTTAGTTTGAAGACCAGGTTTACACCAAAATTTAATATTATGTTCTAAATCTGTTCTTACTTCTTTCTTAAGACTTAAACCTTTACTATCTGATAATAATATGGGTGTTGAGATATTTCTTTTTGAATGGATATCTAATTCTGTATTCAACTTTTGCAGTGTTTTGGTAATTTTGGGTAAAGACATAGGAAAAAAAATAGCATAGAAAAATTCACACAAAAAGTACAACCATATTATGCAACATAAACACAAACTAAATACTAAATGTCAGAATCCACCATCAACTATGGACTACTCAGGCATCTGGCTCGTTGTGCATGTCTCCACTTCCGGTCCTCGATACCCTCAGGTCAGTTTCATGATTCCAATCCCACTTCTGACACCATTGTAACCAGACTTTAGGTTTTCCAATCGTTTATTAGAATCAAAACTTCTCTTTAAAGGTATCGTTCTACAATAATATATAAATACAATGACAGTTAATGCAGTATAAGACAGTTCACAATAAAAACTATATTAATACTTTTTCTGTCTTATTTCTAAAAAATCATTCCTAATTAAACATTTGTATCTGTTGAATATAGTAAATGAAACAAATAAATAATTTCATGATATTCAACATATGAGATACTTATACATGTTTACTTTTCATTATGTACCATAATAATGATAAATATCATTCTTTGTAATATGGACATAAAATTAAAATAATATGATTGTCACATACCCTAAGTAAGGATTAAACAGGAGGTGTAGGTTGAGCCAGTATTCAACACATTTATAAATATTCACATCAACCTGTCATCAATAGTAACATCATATTAGCTTTTCATCATGTGTAATGTTTTCAATATAAATACCAAAATAATTAAAATATTTCACATTATCACATATACTGCATTGTTATACATATAAAAATAAAACATTCAATACCACAATTTTACTTACATTACAGAATATGTCCAAAAGATCTTCTAAGTACTTTCTTTAGATTGAACAAAGCAAATATGGCTTCTGATAATTACAGGAAGTTTGATACACAAAGAAAATTATATTTAAAAAAAATAATTTTCTAAATTACTTTCTTTATTAAGTTCACACTATATTAATATTCCTAATAAACCAGGTTCTATCATTTAAAATTATTGTTAATATAGGTTTCTGAGTATTTTAAACCAAACCTGTATCTATTTTGGTATAAATTAAATGGACATTATATGCAAGGTGTTACTGGTCAAGTGTGTCAGCACTCGCCCCACAATCCAAAGGTCCCCGGATCAAACACCAGCACGGGCAACACTTTTTATTGATAAAATTTATTTTATTATGTTTAATATTTAATATACTACCTTACATTTTTATATTTGATAACTTATCCTATATTATTATTTTTTAAAATTAAAACACTATCTTACATTTACATTGGAAATTTTGGTTTTATTTTATGTTATAACAGCTTTGCTTGTGAAAATTTGCATGCAGAGTTATTGTTCTTGTATTTATAATTTTAATACGTATTACAGGGTCATCTATCTTTACCAAACATCTATAATGGGCAAAATTGCACCATCACAATAAACCCACGTATTTAACCAGATGGAATGTGTTTTATTGTGAATTTCCACCCGGTTTCAAGTGCAAGCTCTAATGTAAAGGGCCAATCTCCACAACTTGGCAAAAGCGG